TGATTTAAGGAAAAACGGTGTGAACCGACGTGTACCGTGCACTACCGATTGAACGCACCACTTGACCACCACTTCCTTACCACCACATACCCTTGATATTTTTGCAAAAATATCTTCCCCCTCATGGCTATCTCCTGACCGAAATTTGTGGCTAAAATGCAAGGAAAGAAAGAGAAAATTTGTGTGGTTATGGTTGAGCCAAGTGTTGGCCAACATGTGGTCTAAATTAATCCTAATCTTCTTGCTTTCTTATCTTCCAAATCTAGCTCATTCTTCCTCATTTCTTCTTCTCCTTGGCCGAGACAAGATAGAGAGAAAAGGGAGACCAAGAAACAACTATTTTCTTCTTGATTTGCACCAGTTAAGTGAGAAACAAAAATTCTAAACCGATTAAGTTGTTATCTAGCTCAAGTGCTACCTACCGGTGTAATTTTCTTGAGGAACAAAGACCTTGAACACTTGTTTCTAGTTGCCTTGGAAAGGTATACATGCTAGAACCTTGATTCACTACAAGAAATTTGGCCTTTTGTGACAACATACTCTGTGACAATATATAAAGTTGTCACAATTGAAGACTTTAGTGACGACATTAAAAGTCATCATTCTTGATCGTGGGTTCACCCATCAACAGTGACAACATGGGATAAGTCGTCACAGTATGGATGGCGCGCAACTATCCAGTCTGGCGGGAGATCACCATTGTGACGACTCAAAAAGATGTTGTCACTGTATGACCAACTTCAGTGACAACTTGTTAATATCGTCACAATATGGTGAAACGTTCTAAATTAGTGACAACAAGTAGTCGGCACTGTACAAAGCGTTTATTCCCATTCCACTTTCACTAATTCTACTATAACACCCTAATATTTTCAATATGGCACATATGTTGTAAATAAATTTTATTAATTCCACTATGACACCCTAACTTTAACATTTTGACCCCATATACCACATTAATTTTTTTCAATATGGGCCATGTGTTATAAATAAATTTTATTAATTCTACTATGACACCCTAACTTTTACGTTTTAGCCCCATATACCACATTAATTTTTCGATATGGCCCATGTGTTGTAAATAAATTTAATTAATTATGTTATTTCACTGAACTTTTATATTTTAGGCCCGTATTTGGTAAACTAATCTCATTAACTCTACCATGACACTAGTATCTTTTGCAATTTAGCCTCGTATGCAATAAATAGTGGTTGTATTAATTCTATTATGGCACCCTATGCTTTTACACATTAGGTTGTGTTCATCATTAGCAAAATAAGGAAGGTATTGTAAAAAAAGATGTTTACCTAGTTTTTAATTATTCCAAATGTAACTAATACCTAGTTATAAAGTTAAAAAATATCATGAATTCATTATTTAGTTCTGTTGACAACATAGGGGAAATTACTGATAATAGTAGTGTGAAAATAATGGTAGAGAATAATAAAATTTAATATGAAAGTAAGTAAAAATCTTGACAATTGCATGACTGGAGTTTGTAATGTATTACAATTTACAATAATGTGATAAAAAAAAGTTTCATTAATTCTATTATGACACCTTAACTTTTGTACTTTAGCCCTATATGTAGTACACCAATTTCTTTAATTCTATTATTACATCCTAACTTTTGCAATTTAGCCCCATATTTAATTCACAAATTTCAATAAGTGAACTATGGTACTCTAACTTTTACAATTTATCCCCATATGTAATACACAAATTTTATTAATTCTGTTAGGGCACCCTATGGTGTTGCAATTTAGCCCTTTTTTCTATTTGCAAAATACAGAAGGTATCTTAATAAACTATGTATACATATTTTATAATTTTTCCAAATTTAGGTAATAATTTGTTATAAATCTAAAAAAATTCCATACATTCCCTATTTATCCTGATGACAACATGGTGGAAAATTAATAAATAGGACAATCTGAAAATAGAGGTCGTTAATAGTAGAATTTAACAATAACTGAATATGAAATTAAGTCTAATCCTAACATTTCCATGATCAAAAAGTTGTTATTAATTATAATTGTCACATTTATCATTTATGAATTGGTACTTATACCAAATACCTAACAATATCTGAATATGAAATTAAGTCTAATCCTAACATTTCCATGATCAAAAAGTTGTTATTAATTATAATAGTCACATTTATCATTTATGAATTGGTACTTATACCAAATACATTTAGCGTTTCGTACATGTATTTGTAAACTATTTCGCTTGTTCAATCAACTAATTCAATCGTCAGATTTTGTTAGACTATAAATCATACATAATTGATAGCACCAAAAAATGAGTACCAAAAAGATTTGGAATAAAAGAATGTTTATTTTTTTTCGAATCATAAATATATTTCTAACAACATTTTTAGTTTTTGTACTATTTTATTATATAATAAATTAGAAAGAGTCCTATATTAGTTAAAAATGCTAAAAATTTTTGCCCAAACACACTAAATTATCATATTCTATTATTTTAATGCAACCTGAGAGTAAAAAAAATAGAAAAACTAATTACATAACATAAAGTTGAGAAAAAGAAAAAATAGAGAGATAGAAGAAAGAACGAAGAAAGCGTGAATTTTTTGCATCTAAATAAGAAGAAGGCGTGTTAGTTATATATTCAGAACTAAGAGCGGCAAATTGAAAAATTCAAGAGGCATGGCGCGGTGAAAGAATTTTAAGGAAACGACATCGTTGCTTCAGTAGTATGCACTCTATGTCCAAAACACTTAGCCAAATTTTCAGACATCTTCTCCCCCTCTCTTTATCCTCCTCACTTCACCGAATGTACTACTCTGTATCAAGCTCGCACTACCAAATCCATCCATGAACTAGAGTTTTCGATTGTTTTCCATAAACAATTAGTGCAAGCACTTTCAATTTGGGTTACTTTGTTGAGCTCGCACCACCAACATCCCTAATTCAGAGCTTGATACATTGGCTTGGTGGCAAGAAATTAGAAATTAGGGCTTGAAAACTTGGGTGAAAGCTGAAGTTTAGAGCTTGAAGCTTGGGGAAAACGGGAAGTTAGGGATTGAAGGCATAGTTTGAGGTAATTTCAATATTTGTGTCTAATTTTGCATTGCATGGTAGGGATGTTCATGGCTATGGCTAGTTGCACCTTCTCTGTTTCTTGTCAGATTTAGTTTTTAGGTTCTTGAATCCCTTTTTGTTTTGGTTTTATAGATTTGTTGGATTTTCATGAATTGGTTCTTTATTAGTGACTTTTGGGTAGAGTCCTGTGAATCTTGATTTGGTTTTGGCAAAATTTGGTCAAATTTCTCATCTCTCTTTGGAAATGCTATTTCTAATTGAAAAGAATAATAAACGAGCTAGCCCATTTTGGCTTTTTATGAAATCTAAAATTTGAGTTTTTAAAGGGGTGAACGCTTCAGTTTTGATTTGGTTTCTCGGTAAAAGCAAGAAAGATTGTTGTTTTTCATCTTTTTGTGGAGTTGGAGATGATTTGAGTTTGTGGACTCGAGAAACTTGAGGTTGGTTTAATGTGCTAAGGTTGTTCAATGGTTGTGGAAGATTTGGTTGAGATGAAATTCAGGCTTGCTGATGGCAGTGACATTGGACCAAGCAAGTTTAGTCCTTCTACAATCGTGTTATCTCTAAAGGAAAAGATGACTTCTTTATGGCCTAAAGGTTATAGTTTACTGAAATCTACACAAAAGTGCTAATTTGCTGTACTTCATATTCCAATTCTTTTGTTTATTTATACTTTGATGTTTTGTATTGTGTTCTATCTAAGCTATGAAAATTTGTCTACCCTTTTGTAGATATATATTGTGGCTAATTTTACTATCTTCAAAATCTGGTGTTGTTTTGTTTACTTTGCTGTCATGGTTTTCCATTTTGACATGTTTGCAAGATGTTTCTCTGATAAAGGATTACCTTACGTGATTCATAAGGTAATTTTTTGTTCTTTGGCTTGTTTAATCTTGTTCCTACTGAGACTTTTGCCTATAACTTTCTATGGTATGACATCCAAGTTCGTTTCATAAATAGTTAAGCTAATTTCTCCAAATCTTTTCATACATTATTTGCATTTTCAGCTTTCTTGTCTGACTTAAAACTTTACTGATTTAACCTCCTAGCTGCAAATCACTCGCCCCTCAGGCATAGGCTGATGCACACAAAAGGAAATGTAGACATACAACAAAAATGGGCGACAGTGGGGAGGTGGCAGGTTAACCCATGTGTCTTATGTTGAAGCAAATAAAAGGAAACTCAGGCTATCTTGCCTTCCTTTAGCCACTGAAATTACTCTACCATCTCTAGCACTGTACTTCCCAAATCCATGTTAGACAAGAAGTGATATTTAAGGACATGAAAATTCCATCATTAATAAAACTTGAAAACAGGTATCTAAAGTTGTAGACTTCATCTTCAGTGGTCCTGCTAACCTGGGACTTAAAATTCTTTCTTTTATTTCAATTAAAATTTCAAGAACAAGGTCTTCCATAGTAAGTTATTGGTGTGCTAGATTCCTAAGGTAATTTTACAAAAAAAAATTTTGTGGGAATGCTGAAAAACATAAATTGAAATCATAAAATGAACTTAATCAGACATGGATGACCATTCTTCTACAATCCAGCAGTGATAAAATTTTTTTGTCAAATATGTACTAAAATAACAAGTAAATTCTTCTAACAAGAACAATGAAATGAGTAACTGTCTAGAAGCTTTTTGTTGGAAAATCTCCACCTAAGAAACTGCACTATAACAAGCAACTGTCCTGATATCTAATTCTCTAGCTAGTTTGTTATAGCCTTGCCTGCACTAGGACTAGGTAGACTACCCATCCAAGCCGGAGGCAACATACTGGTGTGCTCGTGCACAGTCTGGAACAGAGGTGGCAATGCAGCGTAAACTAATGTTGTTTCTTTCATGGCTGAATTTGCAGCACCTGATCCATCTCTGGCCTCTCCGTTTGACCAAACACTAATCTTAGGTTGTAGTCCTTGGATCGCCTCAGCATTGTAGTGCTGGTGGATTCAATGAAGATGAGGTGTAAACACATGCAAAATATATTTCGTTTGCCTTGATCTCATTTTCTTTTGGCATTGATTTTATAGAGAGATACTTATGGGACTTTCTTATTGTTAAAACGCAGGCTCGCTTTTTCTTCCAGCAGCTAATATCTGGTGTTAGTTACTGTCATTCAATGGTGAGATATTAGAACTATTTATTCTTTTTGAGTCGTCTTATTAATATCTCATTGTTCTCTCAATGCAGGAAATCTGTCACAGGGACTTGAAGCTGGAAAACACACTTTTGGATGGGAGTCCAACACCACATCTTAAAATATGTGATTTTGGTTATTCTAAGGCTACAAATCTTTGCATTTGGAATTAAAAAAAATTGTGATTCAATTGACTTCATATTTTTTTCTGTGGATAATTTGAAATTTTGTTGGTTTCTGGCATTTACTTGCAGTCCGGTTTGTTGCACTCACAACCCAAATCGGCAGTTGGAACACTAGCATATATTGCACCTGAGGTCCTGTCAAGGAAGGAATATGATGGGAAGGTCTGTATCATCAAAATTCTTGAAGAATTTACGAAGATTCTCTCCCTCTGAGCATTAGTTTCCTCTTCTAGTTAACTCTTTACTGTGATAGTATAATGGAATTTCCTCCCTTTTGCTGTGATGTGGTATTACTAGATCGACTAGTATCCCCAACTTGCATCCAAACATAGTCAAAAGTAGTAGTACTGTTTCTTCTAAATCAGCAATATGGCCCTTGTCTCAAGCATCTTGTAAACTTTGTGCTAGTGGTTATGCTTGTTCAGTTCATTTCTTCCTGCTAAACAGGCAGGCACTGCTGCCTACTTTCTGCTCATTAAATAGTTTTGTCTCAAGAAGGTCTTCATTCATTTTGTAATTGCTGTCTATTTTCTAGATTGCGGATGTATGGTCCTGTGGTGTGACATTGTACGTGATGTTGGTGGGAGCTTATCATATTGACTTAATTGGATTTTTGTTCAGTATAACTATTCATTCAAATTCAATAGTGTATGCTTGTAATGGCATATTTTTTGACTAAAATCGATTCTAATGCATATGGTACTTTTCTTTCAATGCAGTACAATGCTATTAAATGCTCTTGAGGAGATGAAAAAGGTTGGCTTTTGGATATGCTCATGAAGATGACTTCAGTTTGACACAAATTGCTGCTTTAGTCTATGTTTTTGTTTGGAAAGAGTACTTTATTTTTTTGGATGCGTAATGGCTGTTACTAGTTGAACTGATGTGAATTTAGTACTCTATTGTTTGGATGGATAATGGCTGTTAGTACTTGAACTAATGTGGGCTTTGGAACCCATTTTGGTTAATGTGTGTTGTGATGAATTTAGAGATGTTTATAACTATATATATATATTTGAGGGTTCATTGTACATTAATTACTATCGTTTTTTGCATTAGTCGAGCCACAATTTTCTACTATGGTTGTTGAAAATGCAATAGAATTGCAGCTCTGGTAGATAAAGTTGTAAGTTCATTAAGTGACGATTATTCTTGTCACAGAATACTAGGAGTGAGAGTGACAAGTTCAAGTTGTCACTGTGCGCGTTCAAATTTGTGACGACTTCTGCTATCTTTTATGACAAAAAATTTTTGGAAACAGTGACAAAAAATTTCGTTACAGAATACTATTCTTTAGTGACGACTTAGTCTTCTTCATTAAATAATAATATTTAGTGACGACTTTGTAGAGGTTGTCACACGTACCCATTTGTGACATAGAATTAGTGACAACGATGTCACAATGGAAAAAGTCGTCACTATACTCATATAATGACGACCTTCTAATTTTTAGTGATGACTTTCTATTGTCACAAAAGGCCAAATTTCTTGTAGTGATTCTCCGATTAAATTCGTGATTTGTTGCTAAATATGTCACATATGGTTGAATTATTGATGTATGTGGTGAAATAGAGGCTTGGATCATGATTTTCCATTTTATTGGAATTTTTACAACTTTCCTATGATTCTTCTAGTGCTTAAAATTTGGGGCTTTGATGTTTAAAGTTTAGTATGGGAAGTTAAGATGGTGAAGCAAGCCAAAAATAAAGAAATTAGCATTTGATTTCAAGAATTTCCAGATTTCAGGAACTTGAAAATTCAGTTCTGCCCGGCACTGTTACTCATAGTTAGAGGCCGAATTAGCCTTAGATTAAAACATGAAAGTTGTAGAGAATGGTGGATTATAGGTGCCTACAAAATATCAGCTCAATCGGAGTAACGTAGCCTGTGAAAGGACCAAAATACCCTCACTATTTTAGGATGTTTCCAGTGTTCCGTTTTAGTCAGTTCATCCAGTTTATCATGTTTATTCACAAGGATCCGTGCTGATTTAACCATTTTCGAAAACATGAAAGTTTTCGTACTCTGTCTTAGCTTTTCAAAGCATCCAAGAATGCCTTAAACGGACCTTGGTAGCCTGAGATATGACCATTCTAGTGCAATGCGGATGATTCGCCATATAGTTGGAAGTTGGCTCTGTAATTTGGGAATTTGACCAGGTTACTCTGGAAATTGGACTAAATGATCTTCATGAACATTGTAGCCCTATGTCTTAGCTTCGAAACGGTATTAGTTATACACCAATCCGATAAGCGTAGTATCGGTTGTGTCATTTCCGCAAAAACCCGTCAAATCTGTTTTTGTTTAATATCTTTTCCGCACTTGTTACTAGTATGATTGTTGTCCTTATGTTATCTTGAGCCTATTGGACGGCTATTGAAGTTAGATTGTTGTGTGTGTACTTTTGGGGTTGAATGAGAAAAATAATGAAGCCAAAATGGCTGGAAAATTAGGTAAACACAAAGGGCATGCTGCCCAAATTCACGTTCGAAGACTAGAGAAATATACTTGCGACTTGAGTAAGGATTAAGAGTGACTACTACTTGAACCATCTAGGATATTTGTGTCTTGTTTTACCGACGTATATCAGTAAGGACTTGGCCAAACTTGTACCCTTGAGAAATAAAATAATGACTGCTTGAAGTACGTTTTCCTTGTACTTTTGACTCAAATGACATTTCCAAGTATAATGTTATAAAGTTATATAGTTTGAAAAGCGAGCGAGTGTTTCACGAATATTCTCCAAGTGAATTTCAATATTCTTGATTCTTATTGAACGAAATGTTTAAGTTTCGAGCCTTAGTTATTTTTAAAAGTTCTTAAACAATGTTTTATCGCAGATTTGGACTCCGCACACGGAGTAATACCCGAACGTAACTCGTAAAGGTACCGCATTTTGGGTGAGTGCTTCCAAATACTTGGTTGACCTGGACACTTGTTCATAATACTTGTACATAATTGATATGAGATGTGTTGATCGGACAAGAGTGTACCTTATCGCACTTGCCCAAACATGATCTATACTTGTTTATTGTTGCAATTAACTTGATATACTTGTACTTGAGTTGTAAGTGCGGAGCGGCAGTATGTACTACACTCAATCCGAGTGGGAGGTGCCGCTCATTCCCGTCTCCATACTTTTATTTTAATTCAGTCGATTGGAGTGTTATCTCATCGACTTTTGGGGACCCCAAACCCCATTGGCTAGTTAATCGAGTCGAGCCGGCAAGGGTTTGGTCGATTAGATAACGAACCATGGGTCGTTAGATATGTCGAGTGGAGAGATATCTCCTCGACTAATCGGTATACTCGAGTATTACCACCCGTGTTTATTGAGGATTTTGGGCCCAGTAAGGGGTGTGAATGGTCGACGGAGAGTAGTGTAAGTGGTGCTCTACTGGATTGGTTACTCACTTGAAGGTTGACGGAGTGTCAACTATTATTTAATCAAGCTCTGGTGAGGCGCTGGGAATTTGGCTCCTGAGAGCCGTCCGTATCCTTATACTTTGGAATGATTATTGTTTATTGGATTATTGATTCTTCTGAAAAATTTTTACACTCGCTCACTTTGAAATTTGCTACTTGAAGTGTTATTGTTCACTCTTATGAACTTTTGATGCCATTAACTTGCTACATTGATATTCGTACTTTTAAAATGGTTAATTTGTTATTTGGAACCTCACTGGGCTTTTAGCTCATTCCACGCCATTTATTTTCCTTACAGGGGGTACGAGCGAGGCATGAGACATGTATAGACTAGCGTAGTCTAGTTGTTTTGAGTTTTGCTTTTGTACTCACGCTAGTACCCGACTAAGGTTGATTGTACTCAAACTGTAAACACTTTGAAGTTTTTTTTTTGGTATGTAGAAACTTTGTATCTGGATTTGAGCATCAATGTATATATTAAGTTGAAGTGGATATGTTATTTATTTTCTATGGATGCACGTTATTTTACTTGAGTTATGAGTGAGTGTGTGAGTGAGTGCTGGCGAGAGTTGGGCAGGCGGTCCGCCGAACCCTTTGGTTCGCCTTAGGGGAAGGTGGGGCCGTCACAGATGGTATCAGAGCTCTTATCGAGCTCGTGCCGGGAGAAGTTTCTCGGACTGTGAGAATTGACTTGTTAAGTGTAGATCAATTGTCTATTATTGGGGACCTTAGATATATATGCTAGGTAGGAATCTCTAATGCAGGTGATTTACTCTTGGGACCGGCCGGCTCGAGTTGTGAATTACCTTATTGTGGATTCTTGTACCTGAACACCCAGGAGTATTATCATGGACGAATCGAGTAATAGTCTGGTCAGGGTTCCTATAGAGGATGATTAGGTTGTAGTATATGTCGAGAAAGTCTCACCGAAGACCGATTTCTTTCTTCTACCCTTGATTGTGCTCCCTTGATGCCTAGTATGTTAAGATATTACCCTAATTATGTTCTATCTTCCCGTCCGTTTCATTCAATTTTTAAACCAACCGATGTATGGTTAGATTATTACTTCTGCTTAGTTACTTACCCAGATTCGTTGATCTGCCTGACAGACTATCACTTGAGTCCCAGTGAATCTGTGAGATGGCACAATTGGATGATATATATAAGGAAATCGAGGTTCTTCGAAATGAAATAGAGGTCCAAAATAGACTAGCCGAGAATTGGGAAGGGCGATGGAAACACGAATATTCGGAGAAACTTGAGCTATTGCACGAGAACATAGCACTAAAAAGGCAATACGAAGGGATTCCTGAAGAGGTTTTAGCAATGGCACGAGGTAAAACTTTTACGAAGAATCCAGAAAAAGCCCAAAGGATAGAAATTGCAAGGACACAAGTGAAGGGCTTCCATGCAAAGAAAAGGGTGCACCTAGTGAAAATCAAAGTCAAGAACAAGGTGAACGAGGTAGGCCACCCTTTAAAGTAGGTCGAGGAGCTAGTGGTGTGAAAATTTTGGGGACATCAAAAGAAGGTACTCCGAGGGGAGCCCCAGGTGGAGGACATCGACTGAAAGCTGTCTCACAAGGAGATCAAACCTCGACCCTCCATTTATCGTGTGGCTATTGTGGGAAAGTCAACCATACTAAGGAGAGTTGTTGGAAAAGAGGGGGAGAATGCCTGCGATGTGGGAGCACCAAGCATTGGATTGCTGATTGTCCAGTTCTATTACGGGAAAAGAAAGGGGCCCAGAAATCAACCAAAACTAACCCTAGGCCGTCGAAGGGGGAAGAGAACGTAGAAGGTATGATCTGCCATTTAACTTAAGGTTTTGTGGTCCTGATGGTAAGAAAATTTCGAGAACGAAATTTTTTTTAGTAGGGGAGATTATGATACCCCGAATATTAGGAGGTTGGTTGTAAAGAAGATATTAAAGTGTATTTCTTTGGGTTTGATTTAAAACCTTGTTTTGTTATTAAAAAGACTAGAAACCCTAAAAGTCTAATCAAAACCCTAGTTTCACTTGTGATTGACCGTTTTCTCAAATTTCTCATATTTTAACCGTAACCTTAAATTCAATTTATGGAATTGTAAAACCCTCACGTTTTTCGTAAAAATACCCTTTTATTTGGAAATTATTCTTTTATTATAGTGTAGACACCAAATTCTTGGTGTAATTTCATGTATTTTTTATTTTTAGTTTTTTATTTGTAGTGTTAGTTTTATTTGTTTTTTTTGTTTTGTTTTTGTTTTTAATTTCTAGTTTTATTTTTATTTTTAAGTTTTTATCCTAGATTTTCTTGAAAAAAAAAAGTGGAAAAATTCAAAAAATATGCTTTAGTCGTTTTTTTATTTAAATTCAATGTTTTCTTGAAAGAAAAATGAAAAAAAAAAGAAAGGCAAAATAAAATTAAAAAAAAGGGAAAAATGGAAAAATTGGAAAAATCACAACTTTGATTGTTTATTATTTCTAGTTTGTCTGATGGTTTTAAATTAGTGTTTTTCTTTATTTAAATTTCCTTTTACATTTTTGTATTTTAAAAAAAAAAAGAAAAAGAAAAAAAAGAAAA